GCAAATGGGTAGCTCTTCATGATGTATGCAAAACCTACCAAAGGCAAATAGATCTGACACGTGCTGATCTCTATGAATACATTAAGGATAATCCAGATTATAAGGAGTCAAATGAACGTCTCCCTGCCCTTACTGAAGAGTTTATAGCAACAATAAATGAAGCAAAGAAAAGGATAGAACAAGAAAGGAGCCAAGCAAACTAACAGAAGTTAATTGATATTATGTTGCCACTGTACATAATATTAGTATTGTTATGTCAAAGTTTTTTAGTATTCCGCTACTTGCTGTTAGATTATTTGTACATACTATTAATCTAGTACGTGTATAATAATTTTATCCCTAGCTTTATTTTCAATAAAATCAGCTTCTTAAGCCAAAATTTTTTTGATCTCATCAACATTCACTTCTAGTTTTATTTTTTTCATGCTATAAATTTTGCACTTGGACCTCTGGTATCTTTTTGAGTGGTTTTTCTGCTCACAAGTTGTGGCAGCTTTGAAGTGTTACTATAACCAACAAATTTCTTAGCAGTTCAACTGACTAGAACTAATAATAATAATAATAATAATAATAATAATAATAATAATAATAATAATAATATTGGTGAATTATATAACCCTCCCTTGTAATCGAAAGGAGTCCAAATACACACATCATTAATAATAGTAAAGTATCATTAATAATTAATCCTTGCAAATTTGGGCCAATATTTTGTCTCTCAGTTCTTTCTGAGTTAAAAGTTAGAAAATTTCAGGAGACAAAACTTGGTAGGCTTTGACCATTGAGATAGGAACAGGATAGGCAGGAGGGACTGAACCCCCTACCCAACTTTTTTAAAGTAGGAGCTCAGCCACCAACTTTAAAAACATGATACACATAAAGGAATAGTCAGACATTCAATGGTTATTTAAAGCGCTATTGTTACAGATGTATTAATATGATTTTAAGCCCCCAAATTTAAAATTGTTTTATAGTTTAAAATGGGACTCACATAATAAATGCATTATAACACTCACTGTCCCTCACTCTGTTTTGTCCCTCCTTCTCACTCTCTCTCTTGCTCTCTCTCCTTTATAGTAAAGAGAATAAAAATAAAACTCTTTTGGTTTGAAACATTATTCATTGAAACAGCTGGAGATGATCAAGTGCTGCAACCTGATGAATTTATAAAGGTGACCGGGTATGTTATTGAATACATATACAATAGAAGCTATACTGTATTCAATCATTAATTATTATTATTATTATGTAGTTTATTGATAAATTGTTCCTATTAATAGATATCAGTGGTTCTGAGAAAAATGACAGTACCTGAAATACTGGACTCATTAATTAAACTCTCCTGGTAAGAATGCCGTCTCAGTTAATGTATAGCATGTACAACGCACTTATATATACATGTACATGTACATTGTACCTATAGTGTATTTGTACATGTAGTCCATATTATACTTATAAATGTGGTAAGTATTGTGTACATTCATGTAGTGTACATGCTGTATGTTCCTAATATTATACCCCATGCTCTAATACACATATGCTTATATACTTGTACATATACATACCAGTATATACATGATACATGTACTACACTTACTTGAACATGCATGTTTTAATACGTATGTGTTTGTGCTTGTACATGATATGTGTATAGTGTTACACTCTACGTTACTATAATTGGATTTTTTTTGTTGTCTGGTAGTAAGTGAACATTATTTAATTATCAGTAACAATTGAATTACTGTAATTTATACAACACTATAGTGATAGTAATTATAATAGTAATAATGACAATAGTCATGATATCTGCATCCTGCTCTCACTGTTATGTTGAAGATCTACATAGCAGCACTGAACAAGTAATTAAATAATACCCACTATATTGTGTTTGTGTATGTAAATACTACAATTATAGTTTTATATTGTGTTAAACTTA